ATCATTTTCTGATGAAGGGTCTAGGCCCAAAACGTCAGCCTTCCTGCTCCTATGATGCTGCTTGGCCTGCGGTGTTCATCCAGCTCCGCACCTCGTTGTCTCGGATTCTCCAGCATCTGCAGTTCCTACTATCTCAGGTAAAGAAAGCACTTGGTATGTTGGTTTTCAGAGCAAGAGGATTTGAGTACAGGAATAGGGATGTCTTACTGCAGTTGTGTGGGGTCTTGGTGCAGTTTTGGGCTCAATAGCTGAGAGGGGATATTCTGTCTTTGGAGGAAGTGCAAGGAAAATTTGCAGACTGATTCCTGGGATGAAAGGACTGACTGGATAGATTAGGACTTAAACTCACCAGAATTTAGAATGAGGGGTGATCTCATAGCAGCCTACAAAATTTCAACAGGACAGAAGAGGGTGTTCCCAATGACCAGGGAGTCCAGAACCAGGGGTCACTGTCAAAAGATACAAGGTAGCCCATTTAGGACAGCGATGAGAAATTTTTTTGAGTGGTGAGTCTACCAAAGAAAGCGATTGAGGCCAAAACATTGGATGTTTTCAAAGAGTTGGATTAAGTTCTTGGATTAAAGGGATCAAAGGCTATGGGTAGAAAGTGGGAACAGGGTACTGAGTTGATCAGTTTAAATGGCAGAGTGGGCTCTAATGGCCAAATTTCCCACTCCTCTTGTTTTCTGTGTTTCCACCTCTTTGAGCACTCGGCACTTGGCTTTGTTTCACTCAACAACTGATGCCCTAGTTTCTAACCATTGCAGTTCTGTTAGTTACTTTCCAATCCTGAATTTAATGAATTATTACATCCATCCTTGTCTCCAGTTACAATGCAAATTGTGTCATTTAGGTATTTGTGTAGTTTGAGAGAATATGATGGTTTTAACCATGTTTGAATGCTTTTTTTTTTTAATGACATTGGTGGTACTTCACTTTGTCTTTCCTCTTCAGAAAACGTCTGGAAGCGTCAGAAACCAACTCGTTTGGAAATGAATTGTACAGTGTAACATTTCAAAAGAAGGGAGAATACCCACTGTTTGGCTGTCAATATGACTTCAACTTGGAAGGAGTCGTTAACGTCCCTGAATTCCTTGTTTATTTTCCACTGTTTGAAGAGTAAGCTATTTGACTGAATAATAATGTTGAGAAAGCAGTTCTAATTCGGAACTAGAACTATAGATTTCCTATCTTGGCTCATGGCTTTTTATTTGGAAATTTAGATATCTTTGGTGCAAAGTGATAGAGGCACTACAATGCTCGAAAGTAACATCTCCAAAAGCTTAAACGTTAGCTTTCAATGATTGTATTGCCTTAGTTGTTAGAATATTACCTTTAACTAGCTAAGATGTCACCCATAGTGTTTCAAGTAGATTTTTTTTTTGTACACTATGCTAGTAAAACATTGGAACTGCCAATTTTTAGTTTCATTTTCATTTGAGAAAATTTTGTGTTCTCAAAAATATTATTTGCCTTGAATCTTCGTTTTTCCTTTTTACTGTTTTTATCCTCAAAATTTAAAAGAATTATATTACAGAAACAATAAATTGCTAATCCAGCCTTGTGACATTTTGTTTTTGTTTCCATTTTAGGCAATGATTTTTAAATTTAATGCACCTACTCTTTTGAAGTAATAAATGTATTCTGGGGTATTAAAAGAAGGGGACTTGCTATTCGAATCTTCTTTCAGGCTGGATTGCAGATTTTCCAAAGAGAATTTTATTGTCTCATAGTCTCCCTTCTCACAACAAACGTTCAAATGAGCATTTCAGTGTGTTAGTAAATGTGCTTATGTGTTAGTGGAACTGTAACAGTCAAGCATATTGTAAGAATACAGGTCTTTATCAATACCTTTTGCCTGCTGTTTTGGCCAGTAGGTGAGCTCCTCTCAGTATAATTTCTACTTGCAATGCAGTCATTGTAAAGTTATAGCATTTGTATAACTGGTCTTTGTCCTTCTAGGATGGCTAAAAAGCACAAGATGAAGCTCGTCTTCAGAAAAACTTTTGCGGAGTTTTTCAAAGAGAAGGTCCAGAATTCAGAACATAAAATGCTGTTGAAGAAAATGAAGTCATTAGAGGTAATATGAAACAACAGCTAACGAAGGTGTTGAGCACATCCCATTAGATAAGCAACATCTGACTTTCGGTTGTTTTTATTTCTTTTTATTAATGGTCAAATGTATGAATTGGTAAGTTTACAATGTGAAATTTGGCACAAGGGCTTGTCAAAGTTTAAAATCAGAATTAAAATTTCAGGATTTTTCCGAAAGGTTCATTTTGCATTCCTGGCTTCCAGGGCATAATACAGTTAATAAAAAAACTTTAGTCTTAATTTGGTAGAAATCAGCACTTTATGGAACCCATAGACTCTTCTTAAGATGATGGTGCATGTATTGTATTTCAGTATGCCATGTCCTCTTTGGTTCACTGTTGGCCTTTGGGAAAGGAATTCTGCCATCGTTGTCAAAACAGCTGATGGGTGCTCCAGACTCTCAGCAGTCTGGTTGATTGATTGTTAACTTCCTCCATTCAGTTGTACTAATCGTTTTAAGTGGAAATGGTAAGGATGAAAGGAAATGGGAATGTGTGTGTGGTTTGTGGATGTATAATATGAAACTTTAATGAAGATATGCTGCTGCAGAGAGATTTGCAAAGCACCTACAGAATTTAATTGGACAGCAGTGTTGATTAAACAGGCTTAGCAAGCACCATGGATTGCACTTTACAGTGCACGGACAACCAGAAACTTTTAAACAACTGTCAGTGCACGAACAACCAAAAACTTTTAAACAACTGTCAGTTTTTAACTTGTGACTTAAAATCACAAGAAGATTTTAAAAGGGAGGGTAAGAAAACAAATTTACAATGCAAGTGCTTCAAGATGAGAAGAGGTGCAGCCATCGCGAATTGTATACAGACAAGTCCCCAGTGGTGCAATTCTAAGTTTCTCTTGAGAATAAATACAGGAGACAATTCCCTGATCAAGGAGTAATGTCACCTTGTTCATTAACATATGGAGTAATAGTGGGCCAATGTAGGAATACCCTGATCTGTGGATATTCTCCGTCAGTGATATCTGTATGTCATAAGATACACCAAAATTCAGGGATTTTTGGTAGAAGGGGCTATTGACAAGGGGGGGGAAAAGACGTGAAAAGTTCCATGTCCTCCCAGTCATAGATTTGATTTTTAAATTTTGTACTTCAATTCAGTATCATTATGCTTTATAAACGAGATACAAGTTATAAAGCACACTGCTGACATCTTCTGGCATAAATTCTAAATGACAGCGTTTGTGCTAATAGATTATTCTCCAAGTTTAGATATCCCTGTTAACTGCAGTTTGAGTCTGACTTTGCTAGGTCTCCCTGAAAAGAGCCTCTGAGTTCTTTTGAGGTTAAGGTCACAATGTCTTGCTGTTGCTTTCTGTGCTGCCCTGTGATATGGATACTGTAAGAAAAGAGCCATTTGTGCCAGCATTTCTCTTGTTTATTAACTCAAATGTCATGAAATCTGATTGTATCTTGAGTAACACCTGTACTTTTATCACTCCCTTTCATTTGGCAAATGATTACCGAAATGTAATTACGCTGTTGTGGCTGTTCCGAAGCAAAGGTGGGGACAGTATCCTGGCTGCTGGAGACCTTCTGTCAGTCTTGTTTTGATTTCTAAAAGGTGCACTGAGAGATGCAGGAGTTCTGTAGACCAGCCCAAGATAGTATGGGCCTCCAAAGGTGGACAGTGCATACGAGAGCAGGAAATTACAAAGGATCATAGACTGATTAAGTTAGTGGGCAAAACTGCACAGTTGTACTTCACTGTGAGATGGTGCTAGGTCAGACACGTTGGATCTGAGAAAGTTGATAGTATTTTCTTGATTTGTGAGAAACTGTTTACAGAGGATTGTGAAGAAGGCATTTAGCATGCTGGCCTTCATCGATTGAGGCAATGAGTGTAGGAGGTGGGACGTTATGCTACAGTTGTGTAAGTAGTTAGTGAGACCACACTTGGAGCATTGTGTACAGTTTTGGTCACCCAGTTATAGGAAAGACATAGTTAAAAACTGGCAAGTGTGCAAAGAAGATTTACGTGGATGTTGTCAGGACTAGTAGACCTGGGTTATAGGGAGAGGTTGGCCAGGATAGGACTTTATTCCTTGGAACGTAGGAGAATGAGGCATGATCTTATTGAAGTGTATAAAATCAGAGGGGCATAGATAGGATAAATGCATATCATCTTTTTCCCAGGGATTGAAAACCAGAGGGCATAGGTTTAAGGTGAGAGGGGAAAGATTTAAGAAGGACGTGAGAGGCAACTTCATGCAAAGAGTGGTGCGCATATAAATAGGCTGCCAGAGAAAGTGGTTGAGACGGGTACAACAGCAACATTTAAAAAAACATTTGGAAAGGTACATGGATGAGAAAGGTTTAGTGGGATATGGACCAAATGCGAGCAATTGGAACTAGCTGAATGGGCAGCATGGTCAGCATACAGCAGTTTGGGCCAAAGGGCCTATTGTTTCCATGCTGTATTATTATGTGACTCTGTATCAAAGATCTGAAACTTCCAGTTGTCAACTGTGGAAAATTAAACAACTAACTGGTGGAACATGAGGAAATAGAACTTGGGACCATGTGTAACCAATTGGACCTTTTTGACCCTGTTCTGCCAGTCAGTCTGATCATTTCTGATCTGGCTCTGGTCTCAACTTCATCTTCCTGTGCCTCCAGATATTCCTTGACTCTCTTATCTATCAATAATCTATCTAATTTCGCCTTGAAAAGCAACCTTCAAGAGGAGGAAGCATGATGAATATTCCTATCCTCAAGATGAGAAAGTCTAATACATCAGTGCAAAAGACAAGAACCGAGGTACTTGCAATCACTTTCAGCCAGAAATGCCAAGTGGATGAGGTGTCTTGGCCTCCCTGTTGGGCCCCTGGATGTCCGTCTTCGGCTGATTTAATTTGCACTGCATAGTAACAATGTATGACCAAATGCATTGGATACATGAAAGGCCTTGGTGTTGGTAACGCCCTGCTGTAATATTGGCGATTGGTGCTGCGGAGATATCCGTGATGTTTTAGTCCAGCTGATACAGTACAGTTACAATTATAGAATCTATCCAGCAAAATGGAAAATTGCCCAGGTATTCCCCGTCGCTATAAAGTCGGACAAATCCAAATCTTAACTTCCCATCAGTCTACACCAATTGTCAGTAAAGTGATGAAAGGGGTTATTAAGTGTGATCAGGTGATGCAACTTATCAGTACTCTGCTCAGTTTGGATTTCACAACGATCATTCAGCTACACACCTCAGTATGGCCTTGGTCAAACCATGAGCATAAGGGCTAAATTCCAGCAGTCCAATGAGAGTGACTGCTCATGGCAGTGTTTCACTAAGTCTGGTGTTCTGCAGCCTTTGGAAAACTGGGGCTAGAGTTAGAAGTAGTTTGGTGGGAACTCTCCACTGTTTTCAACAAAGGAAGATGGTTAGAGACATATTATTCCAGCCCAGGTCATCACTGCAGAAGTTCCTCAGGACAGTGTCCGAGGCCTAACCATCTTCAGTTATTACAGCAATGATCGTTCTCCATTAAAATGCCAGAGGTAAGGTTGTTTGCACAGCCCACTTGATTATCACCCCATCTACTAGCTTAACTATTCATTCCCTTCTTCAGTGGCTGCAGTATCTTCAAGATATACTGCAACAACTTATGAAAGCTTCTTCCAAGCCAGAGACCTTTTACTGTATAGAAGGATGATGCTGCAGATGCATAGGAATACCACCAACAGGTTCCCCTCCAAGCTTCGCACCATCCTGACTTGGAATTATATTGCCTTTCCTTCACAGTTGGGTGAAATCCTGGAACCTCCCTCCCTAACAACATTATGGGTGTACCTACACCAAATGGAATGCAGTGGTTCAAAAAAGTGTCTCACTACAACTTTCTCCAGGACAGTTAGGAATGGATAGTTAATTGTGGCTTAGCTAATGATGCCCACATCCTACTCTTATGATCCTCACTGCTCATGATGCACAAATCAGCTCCCAAAGTGAAACCTGGCTTCATAGATCATAATTTTGTTTATTGCATTTTGTTACCATGGTGGCTAATTATAGAACATAATCACGCTAGGCTGCCTTTTTTCAAACAAAACAACACATGTATAACACTAGTTTTATATACATAGATATTAGCTTTGAAAGATCTTGAAGAAAACAAAGTTTCAGTCTTTCTTTCCCAGTAATATTCTTTACATCTATTCATCCCAGTGAAGAGCAACTCCTTTCTTAGATAGTAGGAACTGCAGATGCTGGAGAATCCGAGACAACAAGGTGCAGAGCTGGATGAACACAGCAGGCTAAGCAGCATCATAGGAGCAGAAAGGCTGACGTTTCGGGCCTCGACCCTTCATCAGAAATGGGGGAGGGGAAGGGGGTTCTGAAATAAATAGGGAGAGAGGGAGAGAGGGGGAGGCAGATAGAAGATGGATAGAGGAGAGGATAGGTGGAGAGGAAACAAACAGGTCGAAGAGGCGGGGATGGAGCCAGTAAAGGTGAGTG